CATTATTTTATACATGCGAAATTTTGACACATTGGGGTTCGATCGCTTGCACGATAATTCCGGATCACAACGGCCGTCGTAACTCACCGTTTATGTCATCGCGCGATGGCGACAATACAATAATAATAACGATGAAGATAAACCACCTTTATCGTTCTGGTATGGCCGGAGGTGAAGGAAGTGCTCCGTTTGCGGTATCATCAGTCTCTTACCAGAGTGTCATATAACGTAGCGTAACTGAATATAATTTATTATTGTGAATTGTGCTCCGTAATTCCCCGTACTAATCCGGGAGAAAAAACGCAATATCCGCGGTGATATGGGATAACAATGTTATATTATTACGATACGATCGCGTCATTAAGTGATTTTCTAACGAATAGCTTCCAAAAGTAGGTCATGTCTCACGATGCATCTCTTTTTACTTCGATTATTTACATCGAAATGTCATTGCGGAAGAAAATTTGATATATCGTACAAATTAAAATTAATTTTCCTAAAGCGAATACCGCACACAATGACACGCGTTGCAAGAGAAATATAAAATTAATCCTTTTATCTATATATTTTGGGGACATTTTAGCGCATCTGGAATAAAATAAATAAATTTTTACAACAACGATATAAAAGCTTACAGAGGTCAAAAAATTATATGTATTTCACCGTATAAATCTGATCCATTATTCTGAACGAAGCGTTTATTAAAGATTTCGCTCGAGAAAATGAATAATTAAATCTATAAAACTCGTTTATTAATATTGACGTCGCGCTTAAAAAAACGAATCGATCGACGCGAAGGCAATTAAAGGGCTGGGCAAACATTCGAGGGAATATGAATAATATAAATTTAATTATGTAAAACACATTTTACCCGCTAAACAGGCGTGACGATAAAACGGGCGATGATAACGCGTCACCCGATGCGCGATAGTTGGGGGTCAATGAGATCGATAAATTCGCACCAGCTAAGCACGAGCACTTAGCTCGTTATCCGGAGGCATAAACGCGCCGCTACTTATCGCCTTATCGTATATAAGTAAATTTTCAACGACGGCGACATCCTCCCACCCACAGTCAACGAAGTAGTTCGCACTCTTGTCGCGTGTCGTTAGCCTCGTCCGTTATTCGGTTGCACTTCTCGGATAAGGGAAACTGTCGCAGGAGTTGTGCGACGTATCCGCATCGTTGATTCACCCCCTCGTCCTGCCTCCTCCTCCTCCCTCTCCCCCTCCACCAACCAACGGAAAATGCAACGAATGCACTTCGCGGTGCACATTGCAAAAATCAGCGCGTATGTATGTACACTTCTCTGAATCCCACTGTATATATGGTTCAGAGTCTCTCGTGCCCGGGAAAAAGGCGTATGAAAGTTTTATTATATACAATAAAATATTTTTTTTCGGGGGAAATGCACCGTTTTTTTTTTTTAAGGAAAAATATAAAAATGAAAAACAAGCGTATATTCGAATCGTATATTTCAATATCTGCCAAGAGAGCTTTATTCATTATTTACGAACTGATTTAAATAATAAAAAGCACAGAGTTAGATATATTTTTTCATTAATATTTTTTCTTTAATTCGACCCCCATGATATAAAAAAACAAACCATGCTTTGAGAATTAAGTCTAACAATCTTCGATGAAGGAAAAAAAGAGACTAAAAGTTTTAATAAAATTATAAATAATTGTGTCTAATATTTTAAAAATTCGAGAGAATCCCGGTTTATCTCTTCCGAAATCTATCTTAATCCTAATCTATTATATAACTCTATTTTCTTTAATATTTTTCATCCTACGTTTTTTTTCCTGAAATAGAAATATAATCGCAAATCACGTGGTATGGTGTAGATACTTTCGAGAAATTCAATTCTCGTCCTCGTTGAATTCTTTCATTCTGTCAAACGACGCCCCGTGTTTTTTTAACGTTATCCACGCGTCGCATCGGCTCGTGTTCGCGTGGTAAGTGCGAGATAAGCAGGAAAACAATTCCCCGCTTTCCAACACCGGATATTCTCACTACTTTTTTCCTCCTCCAACTACATTGTCCTCGTTTCAATACGTATCGCCGTCGCGATTACCAGCTCCCAATTTCCGGTTCTGAGCGGTAACTCTCGGAGACGCGATCGTCTTTCAAGAAGCACTTAAAGGAAGAAACGATAAGGGACAGTGCGATAAGGGAGCGCTGCTTCTCGCCTCTCTCGTCGGAAGATGATAGTTTTTTTTTGCCGACGTATGCGGAATAAAAAAAGGATAAAAAGTTATCAATGAGTTATGAATCAGCTGCACTCTTGACATCAAGCGCACTTTGTTGTCGGGACTCAACTGTTTTCCAAGCGTTCGCGCCAATTATTATGCACCGCTGACACTGGCGAATAATTAACACTCGGATCTTTTTCTGACCATGCCCTGTCTCTCTCTATCAAGTTTAATAACTCTGATATGAAATTAGAGTTTAGGAGCAAAGACGGACTTTAAATCTATAACTTGGCAAGCGCACTTTGAAGGAAATTTAAAGCGAATTTAAAGTGGTATTTATGAATTATTTAGGAATTTAGTCTATATTTCTGTTCATCCTTTAAATACAGGATGTGCTATTATTTTTAACGAATAAGATCGATGATCTCTTTCTTAAGACCGGAAATCCCGACAGATATTTTTCGCTATCGTACAGGAAGCCGGACAATCTGTGCGGGAAACTTGCGGCTTGATAAAACTTATTACGCGAACATAAAAAATGCAGTAAGCCGATATCGTGCTTGGTTAATCCGTCCACGGGATATATTTATCTTCACGCATAGGAAAAAAGCGATCAAGATGACACTCGCGAATTTTTCTTATGCAATAACGACATTTCATCTTTCGACTCGCTACCCTCCGTGGTAGTTTAGCACATATTTTTTCGCCGTTGCTTTTTATCTCTCTCTCTCTCTCTCTCTCTCTCTCTCTCTCTCTCATTCTCTCTCTTTATTTCCCTGTCCCCTTTTCCACTTGCGTCTCCAGATTAAATATTCACGAGAGGAAAAACGGGGACAATTTTTCCGCCGCAGTGACAAATTTATCCCGCAAATTTCGTTTGGTGAGCCATACAGGCGCGCATTCCTGAACAAATAATAATTTGAAGGAAACACATTTTACAATTATACATCTACAATTTAAAGCTAAATCATTTTTTATCTGATTCACTTAGCATGATGCCACTGATTAAGCACTCGAATTAAGGCCGTCACAATTCCTAAACAAATAAAGTTTCTTTTTATTAAAGAAATATAAAAAAAAATAGTTTTTATATATACTTTTTACTTCATATTTCTTCAGCTTAATTACGGATTGTGGAAATCTCAGCTGAGGGCAAAGAGAATCGTTAGATAAAATGTTCGGGAATAAACTCGCCTCTGGAGAATAGTGCATACATCTCTTATATGATATGAAGCGAGCTCATCAGGCTGGTCGAGGGCTAAATTAATTCTACGCTGACTATGGAGATTTTCGGGAGAGCAGTTTACCGAATCCCGCGAGACGAAAAATCGTCGATGACAAATCGCGCTTTATTTGCGTGCCGCCTTCGTTTACTCGAAACAAGCGGAATCGTGAAACAATTTTGACGCGCTCCGCGACAATTGCCATGATTAAATCGCTTGCGAATAAACAGGTTTCGTAACTCTAGCTTTATTATCGCGTTTCTATTACTCACTCGTCCCGTTCCTGTATTTGTTTGGCGACTCTCGTGTATTTATAAATTCAACGCATGTTTATCCGTTACTCATTATTTCGTCATGACTACGTAAATAGCCACATTTCCCATTAATTTTTTTTTTTTTGAAAATACAAAATTTCTCGTTGAAGTCATTGCGGAATAAAGTTCCTTCGCAATTCTTTTTCGCTGAAAGATTTTACTTCATGGATTATTCCTCGCTTTTTGCTTTACGAGAATTTCACGTAACGTTTGCATTCTCACGTCATTTGACGGTCGTACTCGAAAGGTTCAATAGCGAGATTGTATCGTCGACGCGGAAATTCTTGGTCCGCAAAGGGAGTTTAATAACTAAAGAGAAGTAGGACCGATACGAGATAGATAGATAGAAAGAGAGAGAGACAGCAGAATTGGAGGGTTTAATATGTACGACGTCCTCGGGGCGTTATAATCGTCGAGTATCGATCATGCCGAGTACATGACGTAGACCGCTTCGAGGGAGACTTCCCGTTTGACCAATCAGAGTCTGCTAAAGGATCGTATCATACTTGTCGTTCCTGATCGTCCGGCGACCTCGGCTTATGCGCGACCACTCGACGGTCGAAATCGGAGAGGATTTTCAATGAGAACGGGTACAGGAATCTCCGAAATTGCGTCCGCAATTTGTCCTTGCGCACACGATATATACATTTCGTTTAAGAGCCAATCTATTCTAGTAATATGAAACATAGATGATTTTTAGAAATTTTTTTGAAGGATATTAGAGCATCAATAAAAACATATGTGAAACGCCAAAAATTCAATATCAATAATTCATATCAATTTCTAAATATTCTTCAAAAAAATTTCCTAAAAATCATCAATTGTTCATACTGCTAGAGCAGACACTGGGCCCTTAAAAAAAAAAAACATCATGACATGCGTGCGATGATCGCACTTTTTCGTTGCGGGCAAACTTCCACACGGACAAGTGTACATACGTCATATTTCATTCTTCGTATAAAAATTTCAAATCGTATGGCGTTTCTTTTTTTTTTCTTTTTTTTTGCCCGGGTCGGGGACACGTTGGAAATTGCGCAAAACAATATTGACAGATGAAACATTCGCCGTAATTCTCACTTCGATAACGGGCGCAGATTTATTGGCTTTATGTGTGAGCGACGCATGTGTCATTTCGCCGCCGGATAAAATATTCCGGTCGTCGCGAGAGAAGAACCACAAATGGCACGACGTCATTGATCATTACTCGCCGCTATATGTCGTACGTTACAGCCACATTAACGACTTTTCTGTTTCCTCTGTTTTTCAGAAATATGTCAGCGAAGGATCGACGGTGCGGGACTGCGTGAGTCAGTGCGTGGAGAAAGGTGAGTGCCAAGTTTTCCTCTCCATCGCGAAATAAATCCACCTATTTTGCGATCGTGAAAAAGAAAAAGAACAACACGCCCGCGTTACAATCTATCTTCGCTAAACTGTTTCGGGATCGCGCTAAATCCACCCTCGTAAATTCCTCGACACCGGGTAGTCGCTGATGGCCGCCGGGCCGGTTGTTTCCGCGAAATTTACAGGGGATAAAACGGCGGGTCCTAAAAAATTTGTGAAACCGCGTGTTATCGGTTGCTTTGGATCGGCGTTTGTTATCTGAAAGGCAGTGGACGCCGACGTCGGCGTCGGCATCGGGACGCGACGCCGGATTCGGTACCGTTGAATTCCTCTTCCTCTCTCTCTCTCTCTCTCTCTTAAGGATCGAACCGAGCAACGTCATCGATTTCGGATTTACGCCCGCATCGCGCTCTTTTTCTTCATCCGCCTTTATTCTCGAGAAAGGAGAGGAGAGAAAGAGAAAGAGAGAGGATGAAAGCGTGCGAATCGCTAAAGGTCCCACGGGCGAACTGTGTTATCGGGTCGCGTCGTTTTATTGTTTCGCTATTCTCTCTCTCTCTCTCTCTTAAGGATCGAACCGAGCAACGTCATCGATTTCGGATTTACGCCCGCATCGCGCTCTTTTTCTTCATCCGCCTTCATTCTCGAGAAAGGAGATAAAGAGGAGAGAAAGAGAAAGAGAGAGGATGAAAGCGTGCGAATCGCTAAAGGTCCCACGGGCGAACTGTGTTATCGGGTCGCGTCGTTTTATTGTTTCGCTATGGATGAAGGCCTCATACTTTTTCCTTCCTCGTATTTTTCCGCCGTATTTTACAGGCCTTCGACGGTGCCTATATATCTCTTTTCTCTTTCTCTCCTGATCTTTTTTGTCACATCTCGAAACGGAAGCGCCGCGATTAATCTTTGTCCGCTGCTTTTCTTCCTCGTGGTTCTTTTATTAAAACTTCTTAGCTAAATTTTGAGTTTATGATTGTTTTAAAAATAATTATTGTTTGTTATCGGAGTTTATATATATATTATTCGTTATAACATGTCATCAGATATAGTTACTCACGAAATTTGATCAAATGTATGAAAAGTTTCATAAAAGCGTTTGAAACAAGAGAGGAGAAAAAAAGAGAATTAAAAGTATTTAAAAATATTTCGCGAGTCTCTTGTATCTTATTAAAATCTATATTTCTAGAATTCTTTAGCTACTTTCAAGCTTTCAGCTTCCAGCTTCTGTATCCTCGAATTAAGATTAAAAAAAAGAGATTGTCTTTTCTTTTCTACACAATTTTGTAACTATATGCATAAAATACTAAAGTAAAAAAGCTTTAAAATAATATTTGAATGCGCACCGAGATCTCAGATCGGTGAATTAAATTGTCGAATGACAACGACTCGGCTGTTTCAGAGGCCTGGAGCACGAGAACGTATTGCTGCCAGCAGGACGGCTGCAATTCCGGGCCGTCGTTGACAGCGTCGAGCAGCGCGTACTTGGTCCTGGCGATCTCGCTGGCGATCCTTCTGGTGTGCCGAAGCCTCCGTGGCTAATACGTCGTCCCGCAAGACGGAGGATCCGAGCGTCACATGGAGCCACAATAGGTCCTTCAATCACACAAACTTGCACCGGGGGTTGAGGGGTGTTGAGAATTGCACTTTGCGTCTCAAACGTTTGCGCTGAACGATCGAGGCTTCCTACGAGATAGCGGATCTCGCGAAGACGTCGATAGTCGTCCTTTCTGATCCTTGGATCTTCTCGACAAAAAATCAGAATATGTTCCGTTATTTATTTTACCGAGCACTCTCTGAGATCTCTCTATAGTATCAACGTATGCTTTCTTCTTTTCGATATCGTTCGACGCATACTAAGTTAAAGTTCACGACAGTTGTAATCTAATCAGAGTGAGTAATGCATGCCAATGACGTTTGAAAAAAATTCCGCTGATTTGATGAGATTTGCACAACAGTTATCAGTTAGAAATAAGCCTCGTTCACCTGTTGCTTTTATCGACTCACAGATTGATCGATTTTTATTTTGATGAAATGATCAATTTTTTTTCCTATTTTTATTTTGATGAAACGCTAGTATAATATTTCGTAAAGTTGACGTCTCATAAAAACTTTACATTTATTATTCATATTATACGGATATGGTACTCAAATATTCACTCTTTAAACATCTCGATTTTTGTTACACATTACTTCAAAACTCTTCCTCTCCAGGATGTTCTTTTTACATCGAAACTAGAATACTGTAAGATATCGAAAATCCACAATGTGAAAAATATATATATAATTATTCTGTTTTAAAATTCAATTTTTTAAGAAAATTTTTATATAGATGGTGTTTAAAAACCGTAGAAAATTATAAATAATAAATATAGCATCGTGATTATTTCCAAATATTATTCTTATATATCTACTAATAAATTTACATATTTCCGCATATTTTCGCGGATGTTTGGCGAGTCTCGCTCTGAATTAAGATTCCATCTTCGCACGGGATCCTTATCAAGTACGAGCCCGAATAACGATACTTTCTCTATTTTACCTCCACATGTTAGCTTCTTTTTTAAATCAAAATAACGGAGTACTGAGCTTTCTGAAAAATATCTCGATAAAAGAGAATTCCAGAAGAAAAGATGGGCTGCGCACGATGATTCCTCAACAATAAATAATCGGAATAATAACAATGATATTTAACTCTCGCGATTTGAGGACGATAAAGAGAATAATCATCATTGTATCGCGCTTATCCGCTTTCACAGTAGCTTTCATGCGATCCGATTTTGTAGACGTGCATTTGATCTGCTTCTTTGTGCACTGTTTCGTCATTTTGTCGATTTTTTAAGCAGGATAGTTTTTTCGAATCATCTGAATTAATCGGTCGATCATTCAAAACTGCTCGAATAATTGAATTTTTAAATAAGAAATTTATATTTCAAAATCTTGTTTGCAATAAAAAATATATATTTAAAAAGAAATAATTTTTTATAGTTTCTCTGCTCTAAACGGCAAGAAAAATACGGATGAAAGTGCGGGAAGCACGAAAACATTCTATATATGTATCGTTCTCCGCATCACGATTTTTTATTCTTCAAATTCTCGCCGATCAGCTTTCTGTCGAGGAACGCCATTCTGTCGAGGGTGGTCTTCAAATTGAATTTATTCAAAAAGTTTCGGCGTCCCATTTTTCGTCGGGCGTTTTATCGACGCTTCTTCCATCCACCCATTCGGCCTCGTACACGCGAGTTTAATAACATCGGGTTGGCGGACCGGAAAAGGGACGATCGAGGAGTATAGGAGCCGATTTATCAATATTTTAGACGAACATCAGGCGATGTGTTCGAGTTTTATAAATATTTCGACGCATCATGCGCTCCTCTTTCATTATAGGTACTGCGCTTTTCTAGGCCACATCCGTGCGAGAATACCTCAATGTGATATTTCACATTATAAATCCATTTTGAAGCTCGTGTGATTCTTTGAAATTCTTTTCATGGAAAAATCACGTTGACAACAATACACAACACCTGACCCGTTTAAAAAGATTAAAATGCCCAAGAGAAATACCTCCAAACTAAAATACAAATAATCTAACAGAAAAGGATGATCTCATCCATATTAAACAATTTCAAAAAAATGAAATTTATGACTTTTTAATTTTTTAAATTTTTTGTACGCTTTTAGAATATTTAAAACTTTTAAAGAATAAAGCGCGCAGTGCGTTTTAAAAACATGACACCCGTGAAAAGAACCGGGACAACTAAAGTTACCACGATATGTTTTAATAGGTTATTTATGCCCGAAGGTGTCAGGATGTCAATATCGTTTGGGAACATTGCTTTTTCATGGGCATCTTTTAAAAACAGTTAATCCCTGATAATCCTTTTTGACGCCGAGGCGATGTTATCGATTGTACCGTATATCTATGCGAAGCCACTTCTATTATGGGAAAACGCCATGATAAAAAGGATTTGACCTTTCGCGACCCCATTTTTTTCCATTAGCTTTGCAAAGCCGATTATTGTTCAAAAGATAAACTTTGTTATGTCGAAAGAAGAAAGCACGCAGTGAGAGAAATTTCAAACTCGTTTGCTTGCAAACGTCCGTAGTTTTACGCGATTTTATGTTAAATCAAGAAATATATCTCGGACGCGAGGAAGAGAGACACTATAAAAATCTAAAAATACGAAAAACGAGTTATTATGCATGATAGATCAAAAAATGGATGTGTTATCTACAGAGAAAACGTGCATTAAGTCTAATCTTGGACTTGTCTGATAAAACAAGTATCTCAGAAATTCATTCTTTTTCTTCCAGCACGCAATTTATTCTTTGATGTCTGTGTATCAAAAGAATTACTTGGTTTTTTTATATATTCATAAAACAAAGAGTTGTTTGCCATTTGATGACGAATAGCAAACAATTCTTTTCGCGCATAAGTATCTCAGTTTTACTTATTTTTTTCTCTTTACGACACAGAATTGAGAATATCCCCCACGAGATTGAAATATCTTTATCAAAATTTTGATATCATGAATCAATTTAACATAAAGACGATACAGATCGACGATGTCCTGACATATCCTATTTTTTTTAAACGACTCGAAGACGCTTGTGACAATTCGTGATAAGAGAAAGAGAGAGAGAGGCGAAGAGAAAGCATCGAACGGAAGGAAACTATACGACGTTTTCCGCGCGAAAGCCGGTATCGATATATTGGACCATAATCGTTGTCAACGATACGCGTAATTAAAGATCGCGAACATTCTGATCGAGCTGGGATACACGCAACAACACAATCGGAGGCAGCAACAACACAAACGGAAATTGTTGCTTCTATCGCTCGACACCTTCTAGCCGTAAGACACTTAAAAAAAGAAAGAGAGGAAGAACCCAGAAGTGGATTAAAAATAAATTAATAACGTGGTTAACTTACATACAGATAACGTTTAACAGAGAGAAGCACAGTGAGGATAACAATAATGATGTTATTATTATTATTATTATTATTATTATTATTATTATTATTATTATTATTATTATTATTATTATTATTATTATTATTATTATTATTATTATTATTATTATTATTATTATTATTATTATATATATATTATACACATACATAAAAAATATGCATATGTTATATATATTATATGATATTATATTATATGAGAAACTATGTCATATTGCATTACATTATATATTATATTATTCAGTTAAGCAGAATCATATGTATGACGAGTTGTACATTTATATTAGACACACACAGACGCAATAATAAAAACTATATATATATATATAGCAGTAAATAAAATACACAGTAAATTCTGTATCCATTTCATAAACTGTATACATGTATATACCATGTAAATTTATAAATGATCATTATATTAAATATAAAAAGAAAAAACAAGAAGACATTATTAATTTCCATAAGTCATATATACTCAAGTCACACACATAGTTTCAAATGTATGACATGATTCTGTGAAAAAAAATACAAGAGATTATTCTTTTGTAAATAAGTTGGAATAAACAGATTGTCTTTTTATTGCATCTAGCACCATGTAAAAAGAAATAAATTATCTGATAATTCTCTTGCATTTATAAATGACAATATGCATTAAAAATGATTTCAATCGGCGTGCTTCTCTCGTTTATTATCTCTTAAACCATACTGTGGAACACAGGATTATAACGACAAATTCCAGGACCATATTCTTGATAAGCCTTCTTTGTGTGACAGACTGTGTAGAATTCTGGATCACTGGCCAGTAACGCGCCACCGTACCATACAGCGCAACGCTGCTTGTGATGCGATATCACACGAACGTCTATTGGTTTTGGCTAAAATATAAATGTGGTTTAATAAACATAAAATATTATTACACTTAAAAGAATTAATGCCGTAATATTATTTGATATTCACCGTAATATGACTACCGCTTAATGTTTCACTAAGCTTAAGTCGCGTGTCGACAATCTTCTTTATGTCACGTTGTAGTCGCCTACCAAAATCCTTGAACATGGTAGAGCCGCCCGATAATACAATATTACTATACAATGGTCTTCTGACATCGATTGGGCAGTTTTGAATTACGTCATCGACGATTTCATTGAGTGGCGTCGTGAAGTCCGGATTAGAAAACTTGAAACATTCATAATACAAAAAAAACATAGACATTGGTTGTGCAAAGTAATTTACAATTAATGTAGTTGTATATATATACATTTAACTTACTTCGGGATGGAAAAATATTTCCGGTCCAAGAAACCTTTCATATCCGACGTCCACGCCAAATGGATTCTTGGTAATACTGTTAATACCGTCATATTTTTTAATATACTTTGTAGGATCGCTATCGTATTTGGCGAATTCTTTCGATATATCCGGGCATATATAACAATATTTTTCTTTAATTGACTTGGCTGTTTCTAACGATTGCTCGGGTGGTATTCCAATCTCTCGTTCTCTCAATAGACTTTGTATAAAATAAGTAATATCACGACCAGCAATGGGAATGTGCTTTATACAACTTCCTATAACGAAACCTTCTGCCTGTGAAAATTCAATATATTGTCAAATCTGATAAGATTTTAAAATGAAATATATAATGCAGATTCATATATACATACTACTGGAATTACGTGAGTTACACCATCCCCACTATCAACAACGACGCCTGTTAAAGTACGATCTTCTACGTTTTTAGCTGTCCACGAAGCCGCTAAGGCAAGAACAGCTTGTACCGCTATATAAAGTCCTGGTACATTGAATGACTCAAACATGATTTCTGCTGTATATTCCCGATTTTCTGGAGTGTTCAAGGGTGGTTCTGTTAAAAGGAAGTAATGATCTTCGGGTTCCGATCTGAGATATTTGAAAATGCATTGTTGCAAAAACTTCTCCATCAAGTCCCAATCCTCGACTAGTCCATGCCTCACTGGATACTGCAGATCAAGGATCAAAATGTATATTTTAAATACAAACCATTGGAAACGATCCTATCTTGAAGGAATATTTTGTAAATAAATACCTTAATTGAATATCCGGTGGCTTCAAAAGCCTCATCCCCGATGTAGGCATCCAAGTCCTCCACACCCTTCGTGATCCTCCTCGCATTGTTATCACCAACCTTAGCTGTTTCCTTGATGGCAATCGCCGAAGGTATGGTCAGCTGAGGCTCCTTATTGCCGGCAAACCCTAATTTCGTGTATCTACAAGATAACGATTATTAACACAATCGATAATTATACTCGAATGGGAAATATCAAGCGTGTTAATCATGCGTGGGCGAATATATTTTTACGCGCATCGATATGATTTACCATTATATACATGATAAAAAAAAAATAATTTTAGGAATCGGTTATTAAAGAAATCTATGTACATGTATGCACATGTAATATGTAAATATATGAATCGTCGAGAAGGCGCGGTTTACACTTCTCCGAGTGTTTATCTGAGGCGTGTGTCATCGATGACAGTCGGCTTCTAACCTGATTGGCACCACCCTAAATTGGCCGTTCGCCCAAATTTATTTTTCCCTTCCCGGAGTCGCACTTACCCTGTGCCTACGTCGATGACGCACGCAGGTAGACGTCCGAGCATGATTCCTGACCCACTAATAAACCTTATCTCGATGAAACACACCCGTATCGATACCGATGACGGTTGGGGATAACCATCAAACCACCATTGAACTAACACTAGTACCTGTCAACACTTGTCTATGGGCGCGTTCAGGAAACACAACCGTTGAGCATCGTCTTGTCAACACTCGATGTTGATTTGTTGGTTCTAGAAGTAAGAACCAATCACGTTTGATTGCTGCTCGTGTCTCCTGAACGCACCCGATACCACGTGTCTCGCAGCGCACCTATCGTCACGCTGTGTATCTATTTAATAATGACAATCTTATCGACGGTGTTGGCAAAAAATAACATTATATAGAAGTCCCCATATGCAAA